AGCAGGAATTAGAATCTGTCTCTGTCTTCCAGATATTTGATAGATCTTGACTCTCCATTTTCCTTTGCAGCTCTTAGAGTTAGGAACTGCCTGATACTGTATAGTGTCTGCTTTATGCAGTGGGATCCTGCAAATTGTTTCAGTGTGGCCAGCACCATGTTACTGACCTGTGAGAGCTGGTAACAACTTTAACTCGTCCTTTAGAGATGGGGAAAAAACAGTAAAATCCAATTTTTTAATATATTTGTGTGTGTGTATGTGTGTGCGTGTATGTGTGTGTGTATTTGCTTTAATCTCTTGATTATATGATAAACTTGCTGTTTGGAGGAGTGTCTGAGGCTGATCTGTACAGGTAAGTGATCAGATGCAGTTATGGACTAATGGAAGATAAGCATACAGAAAAGAAGAGTTGAAGGAGAATTAGGTTACAGATGTTATCCCACACGTCCCTGCCTTTATCCCCCTCTATTCTGCACAGGTTGTAGGACTGATTGTCTCTCTAGCATGAGTCTGAGGCCACTATCTCTTTTTAGAACCAAATTCCTTTGATTTGCAAGCGTAAGGTGGAGTACGTCTTGAGATAAAACACCCACATTGCAGCATCTTAATACTGCTGTCCATGTGTGCGGTAGGTGTCTGAACTCCTATTATGAAAGATAGTGATCTGGTCAGCACAGTCAGGGAGCTGAGAGAGAAATTTATACATATCACTAGCGTGATTCAGTCGCTTAAACATAGACACAGAGTGCCAACCACGATGTCCTTGTACATCTGAAATATCTGCATGGAGCTGACAAACACAGCACAGGAATTTTAGGACATCCGCACACTTCTGAAGAAAGGTGGGGGAATACGTAGTATCTCAACTGATATTAGATGCCTCTTTTGGGGCAACTAAGGTGAGCCCTAGATCTCCTCTGACTGTAACGAATTCCTATGTTTAACAACATTGGGAAATAAAGAATGATACATGGGATATAAAATAGCACTTAAATCAACATCAACATAAAAGCCCCACATCTTTTTTTATCTGCATTGGATGCTTTTGTATTTAAGTCTTGGGAGATGGAAATGTCGTTCTCAGACTTCTTGGGCAGTTCGGTGAGATGGAAAGAGGGTAACAGAAGGAGAACAAAAAGTTGATATTTGAAGATATATTGATATATGAAGATGACATAAAACTGGGAGGAGTGGCTGATGCACCAGCTGGTTGCACTGCTATTTAGAGGGACCTTGACAGGCTGGAGAGGTGGGCAGAGAGGAACCTCAGGAAGTTCAACAAAGGAAAGTACCAAGTCCTGCACCTAGGGAGGGATAACCCCACACACCAGGACAGGTTGGGGGCTGGCCTGCTGGAAAGCAGCTCTGCAGAAAAGGACCTGGGAGTGCTGGTGGACAACAAGTTAAACATGAGCCAGCAGTGTGCCCTTGTGGCCAAGAAGGCCAATGGTCTCCGGGGGGGAGGGGGGGGGATTAGGAAAAGTGTTGGCAGCAGGTTGAGGGAGGTGATCCTCCCCCTCTGCTTAGCCCTGGGGAGGCCTCACCTGGAGTACTGCGTCCAATTCTGGGCTCCCCAGGACAAGAGAGTCATGGAGCTCCTGGAGCGAGTGCCTGTTTCACAAAATCCAGGCCATAGCAAAGAAAGGCTTCCGCCTTTACCTCTTGCACCAAAACAATTATCAGAGAAATAGAGTGACATTTGAGCCATCTTCATAATACTAGGGCCAGAAAGACCTCATGTAGGTTGGAGAAGAGGGGGTCTAAGGGTCACTGCTTTAAATTTTTCATCTGAGGGGAGGTGGATGCCAAAACCCAGAAACTCCATTTCTGAGGGTCCCCAGGGAATACCATTTCCAGATCCAGTGGAAACCCAGGTGCTTTGAAAGCCTGTCGACATGAGCCGCAGGCACGGGCCCATAAGCAGAGGGAGAGGTGAATTCAGCATCTCTTCTTGCACAGAGAGCATCTGCCTCCAAACACCTCCTTCAAAGACCAGCCAGTGCTCCGGCTCCCCCCGATTTTGAAGGTGGGCAACCGGAGGACAGACACGTTCACTGAGGTTCGTTCAAAATCCCCTGGCTCCGTGACAGGGCGGGATGCTGAAGTATCTCCCTCCCTCCACTGCCAACCTGGCCCTGCAGGGTGAGAAGGTGCGGGAGGAGAGCAGGAATTACCGGGCTCCCCCAAGAGGGACCCAGGAGTCCGGGAAGGGAGGTGCAAGGCGATCCTGCGGGGCGGATCTTGGGCAGGTGGGGGCGGGCTGAGCCTTGGCTTTTGGCAGCTTCACAAGAAGCAGAGGGAGCGGGGAGGACCCGGCGGCTGCTGCGGAGGATGCTAAGTTTGCGCTGGCTGCTGCTGCCGCTGGTGAGTGCCCGGCGGCCGCATCGGCCGGGGAGGAAGGGGCCACCCCTGGGTCTGGGGTGGGGAGGGAGAGGGTGGAGAGCACATCTGGCTCGCCACAGCTGGCTGGTCCTTGTGCTGCCCCACCGGCTCTGGCGCTGGGGGCGACGGAGGGCGGGGGGGAGCCGCGGAGGCAGAGCAACTTCTCTCAGCCCCACTAGAACAGGAGGCAGGCAGAAAGATAAGGGAAGGAACAACAACAACAACGACAACAACAACAACAAAGGAAAGAAAACAAGAAAAGAAAATGAAAGAAGACAAGATTTCTGAGTCAGAGGTTTGACCCAGGTCTTTAAAAAAAAAAAAAAAAGCCAACCCTCTTATGCTATTAATAAATGTCTTTCCATTCATTAAGACGGCAATTTTCAGTGGACAGAAAAGTGTCCCCAGATTGAGCAGTCATGGCATGGATTTAGAGAGATAGAAGGGGGTGGCTTGCTACCCCCACTGTCCTGAGAAAGACAACTTTGCTGAAGAAGGAGGCTATCTGGAAAGGAACAGTTCCTCCAGATGGATTTTTTTGCCTTTTTGAGAGGGCACTGATTGTTTTTTTTTACTGCTGAAGGTAGCTGCCTTTAACGTCATCAAGCAGGAGCATGAACTGTCTTATGTCTGCTATGAACTGGAGGCAGCAAGTGAGGTTGTAACATTACAGATTAGGGAAGACGTATCAGCCCAGAGAGGCAATCCAAGCATGTATGTACCTCCTCAAGCCCCACGATCTACTGCTCGTGCTGCCTGGGCTGGTTAGCAACAGGTGCTGTAGGAATATCTCCTCTTCCCTCTAATCTTCATCTTTAGAGAACTGTTGGGAAACCTTCCTACAGGTGTGATTCCTGGCGACTCATTAATTCTAACTTTAGTGATTTCACAGTTAAACATTTAGCCAGGGCTGGGATTCAGACACTGTCTGTAGGAAATGGGGAGATTCACCTCCAAGGAAGCATTTTGTCTTATCCTACGAAAGATAGATAGAATGAATATTCCTCTAGGGGCTATTTGCTAACATTGATGATAATGAGAGCGGAAATGATTACAGAATAAGCTTGACCCTTAACTTTTAAAAGGTGAAGGATAGGAATGTGAATTCTCACATCCTTTGGGACTCTGGCTTTCTACCTCTGAGACTTCTGAGTTTCGTCTGTGTTTATACAGATTTATTTCCAAGTGATAGGTTATAAATCCTTGCTATATAAACCTTGTTGTATGCAATTATTGTCATGTCTGATACCATTTTTTTCAGGGAAAACTAGTCAGCCGGGAGTCTTACACTACTACAGGTAGAGGGACTTTGGCATCTGGACTAGGCTCTTTACAGATATGCCTGCAGCTGTCTGCAGAGTGGAGCTAACCTGGAGTGATGTATCATACACACCTATGGGCTGCCAGGCACCATTTTAACATTTTAGCATATTGCAGCAGACTGTGTCCATGATGAAATACTTATCAGATAGGATGAGAGAATAGAAATTCCTGCTTTTCAAAATGCATGATCCACAAAGCTTTTATTGTCAAATTGTTGCTTATATACAAACTCCAACTGCACATCTGGTAAGAGTCAATGCTCTAAGTGTTGATGGTTTCAGTATCTCCAGCCAGGTCTGGAGAGAAGCTTTGCACTCTAAGTTAGAAAGCCAGGGAGGGCCAGAGACCCACTGATCATCTTGAGTAAACAGTCTTTTACTGTGTCACATCAGAGTTCACATCAGAGTGAGGTTCACATCAGGTTCACATCAGAGTGGAGGAAGAATTCTAACACAGATTTTCCAAACAATTCTTTACTCTGATGTGAAAATAAACTAGAAGAGTCATCATGAAAGCTTCCTCTGTGAAACTGGGCACTTTTTAACTCCTATCAGCTATATATGGGGAGTTGTACGGTTCAGGATATACTTTGTGCCTTGCAGAATAAAGCCATCGACATCAAAAATATCATGTACTTGTAAGTGACAAGAAATTGAGAAGTGGGTGCTGAAATGCATAAAAAAAGACATTTCCTCTCTTAAAGAGTTTGAAGTCTCAGGAAACCAAGGGTAGGAAACAGAAGAGAATTGCATTCGTTATCCTTCCCACTAAGCTAAACTGCCTTCTTCCAACATTTAGCAGGAATAGAGGTGGGAATGGAAACATAAATCTATTATCACTGAGCTATGCAGTTGCTTTAATACAGCTTCTGTTGTGGTCTTAGACATATGGATCCAAACCTACGGCTAGGTGCTGCATTCCCCCCAAAAAACAGAGCTAGGTGCCTAAATTCCTGGTATAGCCACTCTTGGCTGATCTGCTTTGGAGAGACACTTCCTATAGGAATCCAGGCCCAGCACACCTTAAATCTCCTTCTTAAGGAACTGGAAGTGCGGAAGGATCGGTTTGTCTGGACACTTAGTTAGCCCAGTTAATGGAGAGAGATGGGTTCCTCTAAGGTGGGTGAGTCACTGGGTCCTCAAATAGGTGTCTGCGAGAGGTAGGCAGAATCCTTCCTTGGAACTGCTTGTTTGCCTTTGTTGATTATTAAAGGAGGCTTGACGGGGGAGCTTGTATTAATCATCTAAAATTGTCTACCTCAAATTGAGAATCTGGTGTAAAGCTACTCGTTTAGATTCCTTTAATACCACCAGGAAGAGGTGGAAGCCCTACAGGAACAATAACTAGGACTTCAGTTGTGCAAGCTTGATGTTAGACTCAGGCAATCTAAGTTTCAGTTGGTTGGACTTAAGCGACACGAACTGCCACCTTTAGGAAAACATGTTGCACATACAGAAAGGGAGATATTTCTGTTTAGTATGGAGGAATACTTGTGATAATGGACAGTAAGGATCTTTGGGTTTTAGTGTGATTTATGTTTTAAGTATTAAGGGTAATTAATTGTTTTACTAAATCTAGTATAAAGCTAATGCATTTCATTTTCTTTTTTCTCAAGATAATACTAATTGCGTGTGATTTATCAAGAAAATATATTAGCATGCCTATATTGTCACATATAGAGTACCTATTAGTAAATATATACACATTGATATACACCGATACGTATATATAATAGATACTGTTTAGTATAAAGCTACGCAATGAAATACAGTCAGATAAATGCAATCCAATACACAGAAGAGCATGCAAGTATTACTCCCAAGTCTTAAAACCAATCTTGAAAAGATATTCCTCTAAATGAAGACTGTAAGACAATCAGTGTTTCAGCTTCTCTTGTTCTGTAGGTAATCAAGTTAGAGAGAGGAAATAAACACTGAAAATGTCCTCTAGGTAGTCATTTTCAGCCCCAAAAAATCCTGAAATAATCTATTTAACTGACTGAAGAAAAAGATTGGAAATAGGCCTTTACTTTTAACTTTGAGGTTAAAAGTTTTGGGTACAAGATTTCAAGTTACGGGTAGGACTTTCTCCGCTAACTAAATATGTTGTCCATGACCGGTGTCATGTCACTGCCGTGGTGACCTCACACTTTACAGTCAACCAGAATCAGGAGTGGTAAATGTATGGCAGAAGCAAAGTGGATCCTCATATATTTTTCAAATGCATTTGAGCAGCGGACTTTCTTGCTGCATCAGAAATCTTTACTTAGTTTTCTATGGTTTCTTCTAATTTCTGGTGATACACAATACTACTTAAGTAAGTATCCCAATATCACTCCTAGGGCACAATGGACTGGAAGATCTTTACTGCAGTGATTGCGAAGGTAGTTGTAGTGAAATGGACAGGATTTTATGAAGCTCAAGGTTTGACTCAACTTCCTTCAAAGCCAGTGGAAACATTGGCCCTGACTTCAGCAGTCTGTCATTCCCAGGCTCACAGCTTTCTAATCAGAACTTGGCTTTTTCAGAAAGGAGTTAGCAGATGGAGAGAGCTAGACTTTATGGAAGATCTTGATGAGATAATGTTTAACAGACTGAAAACTTTGTGAAAGGCCGAGGATTTCTCTGACTTCTTCAGTAGTTAGGCCTGTGTTCAAAATTTTTCATTTTTCAGTTTTTCATCCTATGGCACTATCCATTTCATCAAGACTTCCGTTGAAGAGAGGTATACATTTCAGAGCATATTCAGCAGTTGTTTGGACTATGTCTTTTGGTACCACAGGCCGGTTTACAGGAGTGACTGAACACATCATTCCACAAGAGAGAAAGGACATGGGTAGTAGGATTTTTGGATGTTTTTCGTGTGCCTTTCTGTATCTCAAAATGCCAGATGAGATTTAATCCTCCAAGCCGGGAGTCAGTGTGACGTGAATTGCAGACAGCTATGGTTTTGTATACAGGAGAGAACTAAAATATTCAGCCACCAGAGTCATATCGGAAAAAATGAACTGAGGAAGCACAGATAGGGAGAACAGGGAGTACAGAGATGATTTCAGAGGAAATCTGAGATGAGATCTGAGAGATGCATGCAAGCTACAGAGACAGAGGCAAAAAGAGCAGTGACAAATATTCTTAATAAATGATGTATGCACTTGATGCAGAACCTATCGGGGAGGTTTTTGGCTTGCATTGCACTGGAAACTAAATTAGATCACTGGAAAGACTCTTCAAGTTCTTGAAACCTTCCCATCCTGCCAGTGGATTCAGTCATTTCTTCCATTTTTGATTAATTTTCAAAAATACTACATATTACCAATTTATTCCTGACTCTTTGATCCCACTGAATTGCTTTTTCAAAAGTGACTAATATACTAGGTGCCCAGCTGTGAAACACTTAAGAGGCCCTTGTTTTCAGAGAGCATAGAAAATGTCCCTACTTTTCCCCAAGTGTGCTAATGGACTTTTTAATGAGTGAAGATCTCTCTTTTATGTGACATCTAAATTACAGTTCTTCTACCATCACAGCAACCTAGGGGCACATCTTTGGAGGAGCTCTCAGGAAAGACTGCTCTTTACTGAGTTGCACTATGGCATACGGATGCTGCAGAAAAGTCTCTCTTCCTGGTGCTTGCTAAGTCTGGTATTGTCCAATCCATGTCACCTGAGAGAATCACAATGCAAACTGCAATGAGCTTTGATTGCACTGTTTGTATGTGGGCAAACAGATGAAGTAGCCTACTGTAGAGGAAATTAAAAAAAAGCAGTGTTATAGTTCTTCATATCAGTAATTGTGCCGCTCAAGCCAATGCTCCAACCTTATGGATGTCAGGAAAAGAAAAGTTCACAAGTCCGAAATCTGTCTCTGTAAACTTTGTCTCAGGTTTTTGGCATGCCCACTCTCGTTGTAGGCAGCTTCTTCCTGTACACTTGTGACTGCTTTGTTCAAGGCAAGATTGTTTCAGCGCTTGGGTCTTAGATTTAAGATACCCTTGTGAATTTTGGTTGCCCGCTAGTGTTCAAGCCAGCGAAGAGACTGTAGCGTTGCGATGCTCAGCAATGCAAAGCCCAGTTCCTGGAGTGCTGTCTACAACGCTGTGTGAAATCTCTACATTTTCTGTATAAATCTTGGGGTCAGGGCACCATACAATGTGATTTTCAGTAAGGTCCCATGCCAGCCTACTGTTTGAAATCTGTCTAGCTACTAGCAAATGCTGAGCCAAGGGGTATCATTTTAAAACAGCCTCTTCAGAGGGCTCGGCTGCCTTATTGTTGTGCAAGGGTAGTCTCTGTGCCAGACTGGACTCCCCAGCCCCTCAGATCTCTGCTTTGCTTTGGTTCCCAAATTGTCTACGGTGAAAAGGAGTAACTCTTTTCCTACAAGGGTTCAATGGTTAACAGCAGATGCATCCCAATATGCAATCCTATACATGACGAAGCAACAAATGTCGGGATCCGGATTTCTCCATCACCTACCCATTCCAGGCAGCTTAGAGGAACAACCTGCACTGTTATCCTAAGGCGCTGTGAGATTAATAACAAAACGTAAGTAAGCCGTAGCCAACAAATCACAAATAATGTTCTGCCCAGAAGGCTTTTCTTTAACTGTAAAGTGGTTTAATGTCTCTCTTTTTCTTAAAGCCTGAGGAAAGCCAACAAATTGAAGCTTCATTACTATTTTCAATTTCTTGTATTTATGTGTTATTTTTCCACCCTTTTTTAAATATATATAAGGGTGGGATTACTTGCAGTAAGGCTACAAGATCCTTAGTTAACACCACCAGTCTCATTTTTATTTCTTATAGAATAGGTTGTAGGTTGCATCTGTAGCTGCACTTGATGTTGGTTTTCAAACACTGAAGTGGTCTGTAGTATTTAACCTATGACAAAAACTCAGGGCTCTGGTTGTTCTAGCCACATTCACCTCCCACCCCAAATCCAGTACCCCAAAACAAGTTGTCTGCATTCTGATTAATTGCAGATTAATCGCGCTACCTGTGGTAGTGGGACTGACTACAACCTCACCATCGTTCAGCATAAGCAGCACATTTCTTTTAGAGATCCTAAAATCGTTTTTGCTCGTGATCCATGGCTGCTCTCAGAGGCAGAAGGCCGGACGACACTGACTGGGCATCTGACCTGTTATGGCAGTTCCTAGGTCCTGCATAAAGCCAACGCACAACTTCCCTGCGGGACGGGGATGGCTAATGCATGCTTCCCCAGGTATCGTACATGGATTACACTGATTTCAGTGGAGCTGTGCTGAGGTGTGGTGACTGGGGGTTTGACTCAGCCGGTGCGGATTTGCTAAAGGAAGAGGAAAAAAGTGAGATGCAGCCTCCTTCAGAGCAGCAAGCAGTCTGGCACACATATTCCCTGTTAGACACTAACACTTGGGAGACCTCAGCGGCTTAGCCCCTCGTTTGTGCTCCAGCTGTGTCTGCTGGGTGTGTTGCTTAAGCTGGCCTTAGGAAAAAGATAACACTACTTGCTCTGAAGCTTTTCATAATAAACGATGTGTTTGCCTGCACCATTCCCAGCACTTTTGGTACGAGGAGGGAGCCTGAGTTAGCCCATCTGTCCCAAATGCTTGTTACTCAAAGACATTTTAAATCACTTCCCCTTTCATGGTTTTGATTTCGTTTTGGGTACTGATTGGCCATTGCTTTCAAGCCTTTTGCTGTACAGAGGACTCAGTATAGATGGTAAATTGTATAGCTTTGTGTTGAGCTGTCAAGACTTTTAACCATCAAGCCTAAGAACCTTCCAAATACAATTTCGCACCCGCAGCAATAGTCTAGAAATTACAGAAAGTGAAGAAATGACTTGTTTCCTGTCCAGCTGAATCCATGTTTATAAATTTAAATGGTAAGGCATTTATGTAGCAATCATTTTGTCACTGCTACTCAAATTGTTTGTTTCTTGTGTGGGCAGAATGGAAATTGAAATGTATTTTAAAAGACAAAGCGATACATAGGGATCCTATTAAAATCTGAAGAATTGCATTTCAGAATTGTGTTACTATAGTTGAACAGCAAGAGGTACTATTTTAAGAGTTACTTATGCTGATTTATAAAATATATTTAAAATCACCCACTGGAGGAGTATAATACATGAAAAAAAGCCATCTTTTAATTTTCTTTTCATACAGTGCCCTTAATCCTTTTTTTTAATTCTAATATTAGGATGTATGAACCCTCTCTAGGGCTACATATTTAAAAGAAGTCTGTCCATGCTACTTTAGAACCCAGATGTAAGGTTCTAGAAGAATTCTTGAGGTTTTTAAAAGTCACATTCCTTTTTCCCCCCGCCAGGCAGATATTATTGCAAAATTGCAATAGCCTGCGTGACTTCCAGCAAAGTTTCTGTTGAGGCTAAAAGAAGTGCTGGTTGCACTTCTCACTAAAAACATTCTGAAGGCCAATAAATCAACTTCCTGTGACTGAAAAGGCAATCTAGCAATGATGTTTTCATCTGTACTGTATTTTCAAAGTCATTAGAGGCTTAGAATGGCCTTCAGTCTTGCTCAGAAATGTCTCAGAAAGCCTTCAGTCCATCATTTCAATTAAAATCACTATCCCCAGAGCCTCTGGTTTTGCTTTGAATAGCATAGCTTGCAAAGGAGCAAACCCGCTGCTCCATTCCATGTAAGACTCTATGTGTGTAGAAGATCCTATTATAAATAGAGGAGGTTTAGGGCAGGATTCAGTTGTCTGAATACAGTTTAGTTGCTTTCTAGACTATGGACTGTATTGATTATGAGTGCAATTCAGTTGCCTAAACATGTTGAATTTTTGAAGACACCCTAGAGTCACTGATATTTCTACATGGAGCTGGTAAAATTATCACAAGACTTTTGTAGAAGACGCATGCTCTTCTGCAGTAGCTGCTGAAGGAGGGGTGGGATGCCCTATAGCATCCCAAATAGCGCTAGCCGTCTCTGGGTAAGTGGAACATGCCCTAGGTCTCTATAGACTGCAAAAGAAGCCCGGATAACTAGGTCACATGTAGATGCCTGCAAGTCTCAAAGAAGACTGAGAGACCATTCTGTCAGTCTGAGCATCAAAGCAGAAAAGGTAGAGGAGAGTAATTGCTCCAGGAGAGTAATTAAATCTTTATTGTCAGGCTTGGGGCTAATTCCTTCAATAGAGAAAAACTGATTCTTGAGCGGTCCCAAGAGTGATTAGGAATATTTTGCCAATAGATATTTCTGAACAACCAAACTGATTAACTAAGGAAATCCTCTTCATGATTAAAGAAAATTATTTCTTTTTAGTTGCCTTTTTAAGGGAAGAAGCAAAGTGTGTGTGGTCAGATCGCGTGTATGTTTGAGGAATTTATTGTGAATATTCCAGTAGCTGATGAACTCATTGTCCAGTTTTGGCCAGTTGACAAAGAGGTGAAGATCCAAAGATTATGAAATCCATTTAAGTTTTATGAAAAAGGTTAGTGGAAATGGGAGAGCGTATAAATGTTCGACTTTGAGAAAAGGTGCTACATTAGCTCAATGGTTATGAAATGCCAAAAATCCATGAGAGTATCCATGCCCACATATATTTGTAAACTGATACATGTGCAAGATAACTTTCTCTTTTTCTCTTTGTCTGTCCTCCTCCTTTACATACCCTATTTGCAGAAAAATCTTTAGCTGAGCTTTAACATTCGTGGACCCTAAAATATCAGCCATGAGGTACAAACTGGAAGGAAATTTGGGCTATTCACTGTGATAACCCCACAATTGCTTGATTTGTTTTGTCCTTTTTTTTTTTTATTGAGGTTGCGGGGATCCATCCCGAATGCAAGATATTCCAACAGGTGACGAAAGAGGAGGCTCTCTGCTTAGAAAAAAATGAATCCATTTCACCCGATTTTAAAGGTAAAATAACAGTCCTGATTGCGTAGCTCCAATACGAATATGCCTCATATCACTTCAGGGGCACAGTGTGAAGGTGCTCTTTGTTCTCTTGAATGAAGCTTTGATTCCACATTCTTATTTTGCATGGTCTCTGAATAGCTGTTTTGCTTTTACAGGCTGAGGCCTCATATTGTTTAATTTCAGACCTCTTTAAAAGCTCAGTGTCTAAGTCTGGACTAGTCTTCTAGAGTTCCCCTTTATAGTAAATGGAGGCAGATGGGTGACTCTAGAGCATGCTTCATAGAATTTGTCAAGCATTTGCTTGCTTTAGGACAAGATTAATTGTTCTCTGGGGGCATATTTCTCTTTACTAACTACAAATTGAGGCTAAGACAACTCATTCAGACTTTGACAACTAGATGCTTGGATTAGGGCAGAAAAATCCTAGTTGTAATATCTTAAATTACTGAAGTGTTTTCTGTGTTCTTCTCTTATATTCAATGCTACAAAGAAGCTTCAACATAAGAAATTAAACAGCACCCTGAAATTATATTACTTTAAAAATCAATCCAATTTTTTGAAAATGTTCTTTACAAAAAAAAAAAAAAAATCCCTACTCCAAAATATTCTGTTTCAACATTTTCAGAGGATTTTTTTAATGTTTATTGCAGTGGTGTTTTGGAATAGATTCTTAAATATAAATTTTGAAAATTAGAATGAATATTTCAGTCTATAAAATATTTAAGACATGATATGTGGAGGTTAGTTCTCTTTGCTAGGATTTATGCAATTGGGAGGCCTATTTTGAACCGATTCAAAGTGAAATTTCAAAATGTCCAAATCCTTTCCAAAATTCAGTTATACTTTTCTGGACAGCTTTTGTTAGAAAAATATTAATCCACCTAACTGAGACTTTCAATTGACATGAATTAGCAGATGTTCATTTTCTTCTAAGCAGTTATGAGGTGAAGATGCCTCATATATTTGGTGTGAACAGAAACATTGCAACCAAGTTAAACCATCTGAAAGTCTACCTTTAGCAGCCTACAGAAATCTAGAGACCAACTTCCCCAATATATCCTTTGTCTTCCTTTTTATTTTTCTGTGGGCTAACCAACCACTCTAATGCCTGGTGTCCATCTTAAGGTTGTCCATTCTATCTTAATACATTTTCCCTACTCTTGTCAAGTCCAGAATGCCTCTTGAACAACTTTTACACTCAGAAGACCCACTAACCTCCCCAAAAGTTCTGGCAAAATTCAGACATTTTTCATAATGATTTATCAGGTACGTTTTCTGTTTGCAAAGTACAGTGCGACATTCCAAGGGTTTCCCTTTTTACTAGAAAGTTGATTACTTGATTTTAGAATCTTCTTTGTAGCTAAAGCTATTCAAAGAAGTAAAAAAACCCTCACACTTCAGTTAATTTAAAAATCTTGAACCTTGCCAACTCTGATCTTCTCAAAGTTCTCCTTTCTACCTTTTACCTGCTAGAGGTGGAAGGACTTTAATGAAAATCTGCTGTATTTACTGCTTTTTTCAGTATATTTAAAAGTCAATCACTAGACCTGGAAAAACAATTCATCCCCATCATTTCGTAAGGGGTATTTTTAAAATAGACTAACATTTTTAAAAAGTTCTTGGCTTGTGGTTCAGTTTTCAGGAACTGCATGTGAGACACTGTGAGAGATTATGATTTTTGAAGAGTTACTTCCCAGCAGCTGCAGAGAATCAGAGGTGGAATTCATCTGTGTTGCAGACTTCTAAATCCAAACTAGTTCCTCATTACTCTATTTGTACAGAGAGTTGTGTAATGAGTGCCCTCAGTAGAGTCCAGGGTGCGATTCCTCCCATCCTGAAGTAGAAGTGCAAAATAGGCTAATTGAATTAGGCTCTAAAAATGCTTATTTTTCTCCATTGTCTGAAAAAGAGAGCTCTGGGTGACTGAAGCAAACTTAACTATCTGCAATGTCAACACTACTGGACACAAAGCCTACTGCAGTTGTCTTTATGGAGTCTCAGGTGGCATGTCCCAATCATTAGTCTCTTGAAAATCTCAGTGAGTAAGATGCACTTGCTGCCTCTGCACTCAGTAGTTTCTCTGCTATTAACTTTAGCAGTCACTGGAAATGAAGCCAGATCTGGGACTTAAAACACCTTGGTACAACTCCCACATAATGTTACCTGATTCTGGTTTTTTAACTCCATGTTCTCAAATAGGTTAGTTTCTCAGGCCCAGCCCTTCAGAGGTGTTTTAGTCCCTGTAAGAGGGGCCCTTTAGGTATCTAAGTCTCTTAAGAACGTGGTGGGACTCACATTACATAACTTCAATCATTTAAAAATTAGCAGCCTAGTTCAGTCTATAATTATCAAGAAAGACCTAGGTACATACAGCGAGTGATTCATCCCATCCTCAGAAAGGAGCCGCCAATGTATTGGATGAATCATCCGCTGGAAGTCCCTGTCTCTTTCTACTGATTAAAGAAGGAACATAGCTTAGATTAGGTAACACATTTTAGACAATTAAAATTAAGGATAATGAATCTAGGCTCCTGTTTTCCCATCTGGTGTACTGGGGATACCAGGAATTTCATCCTCCCAAGGGTGATGTGAGGATAGTCCTACGGGAGATCCTTGGTACTATCCTTTGGGAAGACAGAGAGTAACTTTGCTCAGCCACAGAAAAGTAATATTACTGCCACATTTCAGCTCTTGTCAATTTTAGATTTGCCTTGTCATCAGTCACGGAGGAAACAAAACAGAATCCGTGGAACAAAATAACACCTCCCAAACGAAACCCATGCACTGTTTTATATCCGCCTTACGACTCCCTAGAGATTAGTTTCTGTTACAGCACAGTGCTTTTTTTGTTGGTTCAGGCACCTTTACATACTGATAATTTTTCCGCGCCCCCACCCACACCTACTTACCAGCAGACGCTGCGTAACCACAGCTCGAGTCTCGATGTGATGCATCAGTGACAAAGCTGTGATTAACTCTCTCTTCTGAAAACACTTGTTATCAGACTCATAGCTAGTAGCGTGTCCTGTCTCATCAACCAGCAACCCCTGGTTTAGGGAACCTCATGAATGCCAACTCGTCAGACGTGCTCCTGCTGATGGTTATTTCAGAGGATGCTGGGAGATGTTCTTTCACTTCGAGGTGAACCTAATTCCTGTTGAAGTCCAATGCAAAAAGTCGTGTTGATAGTGTGAGGCTGGGATTTCAGCCTCTTTGTTAATTCCTCTAAGCCAGGTGGAATTGATAGACCATAAGCATGGAATTAAGAGGCTAAGGCTGAATTTTTAAGTCTGATGCTTTTCATCCAGACTCTGAATCCAGTAACGAGAAATCTCAAGCGCTAATAATTATTCCGTATTTTTTATTTTGGTCATTTATATTTTGTTTTGACAATGGAAAGAGCTCAAGAGCTCCAGTTAATTTGACTTTCAGATTGTGTCTGCTTGATTTTCATGTACATCGTCTCATAAAAGAAGGTGGGGGAAGGTCCAATTGCAATGCTGAGTGTGTATATGAGAGACAAAGCATTCAAGGCAAAGGGGAAAACAATGCAATCCTTCATTTGCAGAGCTGCAGGTGCTGTTTTGATTCTTCTTCATGCATATGAACTAGTGGGAAAGCCACAAAAAATCTCATTGTGGAAGATCAACTGTTTGATGTTCTGTGTCTGTTTCTTTATTTAGAAATTTGTCTTTTTTTCAGGATGCCCCAGAGACTGGGATGGTCTAAGCTGCTGGCCCAGAGCCACTTTTGGGGAAGTGGTTAAAGTTCCCTGTCCAGGATTTTTTGAAGAAATCACCAATTTCCATGGCAAGACTTTTTCTTCTTATTCTTTTCATCTGTAGATATTTTTGAAATAAAGCATAATAGTTAAAGATTCACCAACACATGTATTTTCGTGACTCATCATGCTATCTTATGTCAGCCAACATACAGTAATTATCCAGATACGCACCTTGGCTTATGGTCAATGCAGGTTGGCACTCTTTTGTTGTGTGTTGTGCTGCATGAAATTATCTAGTCTCTGCGGTGGACTAAAAAACATATAATTGCACTAGATTGCTGAGGTTAAAAACTGTCTATTTGTACATCATAGAATCACTGACTTATAAAGTCATAGAATGATTAGTATTGGAAGGGACCCTTGGAGACCATCTAGTCCTACCATCCAGTCAGAGCAGGGCCAAGTTCAAATATTAGCTCTAATTTCAGAGCTAGATCAGGTGGTTCAGGGCTTTGCCCATAGGCACAAACTATGTTGTAACTGCAGGATAAATTGCCTAATTTAGTTTCATCTGTATAAAGACTGAATTCACTGACGGAATATCTTATATGATATGTAGATGCTCCATTGCATCTTGAAATGAATGGGAACATCTTATCTCAACTTCTCAAATGATCAATATCTAGAATAGTACAGCTAATCTTGCTGAACGTGACTAGACCTGCAAGTATCTAACTTAAGAACTGCAGTAGGACTAGAAATATGCTGTTTCTTGTCAAAAATCAAATGAAAAAAATCCACAACTCATTCTCTAATATATTTCACCATTAAAGGCGTCCTTCAAAGAAACTGTACAGAGGAGGCATATTGGTCAGAACCGTTCCCACCTTACACCATTGCATGTGGTTTTGATGAAGGTTCCAGTAAAGGGCCAGAGGATCAGGTGAGTTTTTGATTTGCTGTTTGTGGGCATGTCCAGAGCATCCTCTCTTGAATGTGCTGAGCAGCTGAATGCTCCCTCACATCTAAGTCCCATCAGAATCCAGTTATCATCCTTCTTCAGTGCTAAACTCAGAAATGTTAGGTGTATTTAGAGCACGTTTAGCAAATGAGGCTCAGTGCAAAGCATGGAAGAAGCAAACAGCAGGGCCATTCTCCACCCCATTCGTTCTCTCCTCTTGGTGTTACTCAGTAGTGCTTAGGTTGCTTGTCCTGGTTAACAAAGACCTTGGTTCACTGACGGAGAGGGTTTGAATCCATGTCATGCACCTCCTTAGAAAGCTCTACCAAACAGTCTATGGGGAATTTTTCAGGGAAGAGCTCTTTGAATCCCTGCTGTTGATTGTTTTTTTTCAGATTTGCTTTGAGTCAGAGAAAAAAAGAAAAAGAAAAAGAGTCCATACCTTTATAGCACAGCAGTCAAGGCACTTATTTAGGAAGAAACTCTCGGATGCCACTGAGTATTTCTGCACTTTCAGTTTGGCTCTCAG